AGGGGGGGGGGGGGACTAATGAAGGAGAGAAGCAACTTAGAACTAAGGAGAAATTTGCTGACAGAACAATTAATCAGTGGAACAACTTGCCTTCAGAAGTTGTGAATGCTCCAATATTGGAAGTTTTTAAAAAGATGTTGGATAACCATTTATCTGAAGTGGTGTAGGGTTTCCTGCCTAGGCTGGGGGTTGGACTAGAAGACCTCCAAGGTCCCTTCCAACTCTGTTATCCTATTCTATTCTGTCCTATTCTATTCTATTCTATTCTATTCTATTCTATTCTATTCTATTTCCTTTTCTGTTCTGTTCTATTCTATTTCCTATTTTATTCTGTTCTGATCTATTCTATTTCCTATTCTGTTCTATTCTATTCTATTCTATTCTATTCTATTCTATTCTATTCTATTCTATTCTATTCTATTCTATTCTATTCTATTCTATTCCATTCCATTCCATTCCATTCCATTCCCCTCCCTACTGTACCGTACCCTACTCTATTCTATTCTATTCTATTCTTTGTTCTGTTCCATTCCATTCCATTCTATAACTATGTGTTTCTTAAGGAAACCTGGTCTTCCCCAAGACTCTGTTTGTTGGTAGCCCCCTGGAAAGATCACATATGTTGATCCTGTGACCCTCAGGATGCTACAACTGACACTATATATTTTGATGACACGATTGATGTCTGCAATGGTCATAAATGTGTGGACCAGTCACAAATCTCTTTCTGCAGCACTGTCATAACTTTGAACAGTTGTTAAACAAACGGGCTGAGGTTTCCCTGTGGAGAAAAGTGCTGTGGGCAGCATATCTTATGTTAATATCTCAGTTATAAAACCTGTGCTCCGGTTCTACCTGTTGGACTGGAAGGAATGACTAGTCAAACATTTTATTCTGGCGCAACACCCGGCAGGCTGAGCCGACAGCATGAATGTATACTCTTGTTTAGCTGAAAGAGGATGGCTGGTGCCCACAAACTGAAAAAGAAAAAACTGAATTAGGAATCCCTGGTTATTGAGTACAATTCCAACTTTGCGTCTGTGCCATGCTATATATGTGGAAAAGTACAGTAGTCCTCGACTTACAGCAGTTCATTATGTCATGCCCCTGTCGGAGTCTGAATCTGAGGAGGAAGACAATCAACTGACAGGGAGTGGAAGTGTGGCTCAGTTGGCTGTGGAGGAAACTGGGGAAGGGCAAAGTCCGGCTGGGCAGAGCAGGATAGAGGTAGAACAAGGGAGAGGGAGTTCAGAGGATAAACTAGGCCCATCCCCTCTTCATCCTAGGGCATGCAGGGAGGAACGGAGCAATGTGGGTTGCATGGCTTACGGGGGAGGAAAGGGCCCTGATTCCCTTCATTAGCTGCAGCTGGGAACACAGTTTATAAAAAAGGCAAGCTGCATGCAGCAGGCTATTGGGAGCAATCACGAGTTTATCTTATGTAGTTGTGGCTTATCTGTATTCCTGGCATCTTCCCAACTGTGTGAGTTTTGCTGTGCTTTCAAGTCTCCAGAACCCGGGGGAGGCCATTTTCACCCTCCCAGAGGCCCGAGAGAAGCCTCTGGACCCTTGGGAAAGCGAAAAACAGCCTTCCCAGGAATGTTCCGGTAGGCCACACCCACCCAGCAACTGGGCCGCGAACCGTTTGCTGGGATTTTTGAATCTCACCCCTGAGCATCTCCAGTGAACTGGCCAGGGGCTCCTGTGCCGTTGTGAGAAAAAATCTTATTTATTCATGCAATCCTGGTTAACGGGACAGGCTTTAGGTTGCTTCTAAGCGGGCGCTTCCCACGGTTTTCCAGGGTTCGATTCCCAAAAAGCGAATTGCTCTGGAATGTGGGGGGAGAAGTGGGGAAAAAACTGTCGGGAGGGATCCTGCCCAGCAGTCAAAACTTCAGCTCCAGGCTTCAGGCGGGCCTAAGGAGCCACCCAATGTGTGCATGTACCAGACAGTCCCCAACGTACAACCCTTCGAAGTTACAACGGCACCGAAAAAAGCAACATTTCGTACACTTGCGACCCATTTTGCACACTTAACGACCGTTGCAGGAGCAATCCTCACAGTCGCACGATTTCCATTCGGACGCTTGACAAACTGATTCACATTTACAACGGCTGCAGCGGCCGAGAGGGTCAGGTGATTTCCCCTTCTGCAACCTTCCGACCAGCAAAGGGGGAAGCCAGAATTCACTTAACGGCCCCGCAGTGATCCGGTTTAGCAAACTCCTCACATAACAATGACCTAAATTGGGGAGGGGGGGGGCGTGCGATGGAGCTCTACAAATTACATTTGTCTGAAATCGTATATAGGGTTTTCCTGCCTGAGCAGGGGGTTGGACTAGAAGACCTCCGAGGTCCCTTCTAACTCTGTTATTCTATTCTATTCCAGGGGTCGCTAACCTTTTTTGACCTCAGGGACCACCCAACTCATAATTTTAAATCCCGAGGACCAGAGACCCCGGGAAAATCCCCAAAAAAGTCTGCAGGGAAATTCCCCACCCCATTTTCCACCCGGTGGCCAGATCAATCATTCTTTATTTGGGATTGCAGGATACCGTCTCCAGCTCCGTTCTCGGGGGGCGGGGGGGGAGGAGGGAGAAACTTTCGGCTTCATGCAAGGAAAGCAGAAGCAGCTGCAGAAATCTTTCTTTCTCTCCCCCAAACTCCGCCAGAAATGAGCCTTTGTGAGACTTGTCACACTGACGCAGCCTCTTGGAGCAGAAGGCCTTGCAAGGTCCCAAAGACTCATTTCTGGAGGAGTTTGGGGGAGAGAAAGAAAGACTTTTGCTGCTTTCCTTGCATGCAGCCAAATGCAGTAGAAGAAAGAAGCAGCCCGGTGGCCAGGTCAGGTGTGTGGGGTGAGTGAGGCAAGTTTCCCCCCCCCTCCGCCCTTTCCCCCCTCCCCTCACTACCTCATGTTGTTTGCAATGCAAGCGACGCAAGCCTTGTGTTCCTGCGGGCCATGTTGGCAGCACAGCCTTGGGTTCCCATGCAGTTAGAAGGGACCTTGGAGGTCTTCTAGTCTAACCCTCCTGCTCAGGAAGCCCTGTACCATTCCTCTCCCCCAGCATCGCTTGACTCAGCCTTCCGTAGAGAGGTAAAACGAGGACTTCAGATTGTTGGGAGCAAGAGGTAAACCCGCATAGAGAGAGACAGAGAGCGGTTTTAAAAAGCACTGCAAAGCGGCATATAAGTCTAAGCGCTATTGCTATGGCATCTCTAGGCTGGCCTGGTGGGCGGGCCTTGCCTTTGGCCTCCCCCCACCACCAACTTCTCCCCTCCCGCCGGCCCGCATTGGCGTTCAGCGCCGCCATTCCCGAGAAGCGTCGCGGCGATTGGTCGGCGTCCACGTCACCCACGGGGATTGACCGCCCGTTTCTCCCCCCCCCCACTCCACCTGCAAAAAAACCCCCGCCGCGGCCGCCGCTGTCAAAGTGGATCCCGGGCGCTGCGCTGCCATGGAGGGACGGGAAGCGGAGTGGCCGCCGCGAGGGAAGGAGGAGGAGGAGGAGGAAGCGGCGGCGGCGGGGAAGGAGGAGGAGGAGCGGGAAGAAGGGGAAGAACGGAGGAAAGCGGCCGAGTGAGAAGCGGGGCAGGGCAAGGCAAGGCACCCGAAGCGCCTCCGCAGCGGAGCCCGCGTTGTGCGCGCCTCCAGCCGCCTCCTGCCGCCGCCTCCGCCAGCTATGCTGTGCCCGGCGCGGGGCAGCTGATCCTCGCCGGGCCAGGCCGATGCCCTTCGGGCGCCTGCCGCCCTCGGCCTCCTCTTCGTTGCTGCTGCAGCCGCCGTCGTCCGCCTGCGGGGCTGCTCCTTCTCCCCCCGCGCCGGCTCCTCTCCCGCCTGCGCTTCTCCTCCTCCTCCTCCTCCGGCCGCGGCCATGCCGGCTTTGCCCTTCTAAAGATGGCGGTGGGCGATCGCTGCTGCTGCAACCTTTAGACTCATGACTGTCAGAAACATCGCCTCCATTTGTAATATGGTGAGTGTGGCGGTGGCCCCGGGAGGAGGAGGAGGACGGAGGAGGGGGGGCTGCTGCGGGCCCGGGAGGACGGAGCCCGGGGGCGGGTGGCTGGGCGTAATACGGCTGTTTAGAGAATATAGAACCCCGGGGTGGGAAGGGACCTCGGAGGTCTTCTAGTCCAGCCCCCCCCCGCTCAAGCAGGGGAGCCGAAACCCACACCCCACCCACCCCCTCAGCAAAGTACCGACTGCCCTACTGGTCGTCCTCGACTTACAACCACGGAATTGCGGCCGTGAAGCGGTTAAAGCGATCCCGGGTCCTCCCCCGTTGACGGTCATTATGCGGAACCGGGGTGCCTCAGGGGTGGTGGGGGAGCCCTGGGTTGCTGCTAGAAGGATTGTAAATCAAGAATTACCTGTATATTCAGAAATCCACAGGGAATCCTCATTTTATGACCACAGTTGAGACGAGAATTACGGTCGTGAGGTTGTTTCTGTCGTTAAAGCGATCCCAGCTCTCCCCATTACAGTCATTATGTAGAACGGGGTGCCTCAGAGGTGGGGGGGGGGAGGCCCGGTTTGCTACAAGAATGGTCATAAGTTGAGGACCTGCTTTTGTGCATCCCCAGGGAGTCCTTGACTTATGACCCAAATTGATATTGCTGGTTCATTTGTTAAAGTGAGTTTTGTCCCATTTTCTTGCGTCGGTTGTTAAGTGAACCACTGTGGTTGTTAAGTTAGGAACACAGTTGTTAAATGAATCTGGCTGCCCCATTGACTTTGATTGCCAGAAGGTTGCAAAAGAGGATCATGTGACCCCCACCCCCCGGGACGCTGTGCCTGTCATAAATGTGAGTCAGTTGTGCCAAACATTTTTAATTTTGATCCCATGACTTTGGGAATGCCGCAACGGTCATAAGTGTGAAAAAATGGTTAAAAGTCACTTTTTTCAGGGCTGTTGTAACTTCAGTCACTAAGCAAACTGTTGCTGGTCGAGAACTAACCCTCTGAGTCATTTAGTGACCATTCAGAGTTACAACATCACTGAAAAAAGGTGACTTATGACTTATGACAATTTTTCATAGTTACAACCTTTGCAACATCCCCGTGATCACGTGATTAAATTTCGGGTGCTTGACAGCTGCTTCATATTTAGTGACCGTCGCATTGCGACCTTCTGACAAGCAAAGTCAATGGGGAAGCCAGATTTCACAACCATGCTGCTAGTTTAACAACTGCAACTGATAGAACAGAAATAGAAATAGAATTATTTATTGGTCAAGTGTGATTGGACACACAAGGAATTTGTCTTGGTGTAAATACTCTCAGTGTACATAAAAGAAAAGACACATTTGTCAAGAGTCAAGAATCATAAAGTACAACACTTAATAGTCAAAGGGTACAATAAGCAGTCAAATCATACTAGGAAACAGTCAATTGTAAATTGGAAGGATACATGCAACAAAGTTACAGTCATACAGTCACAAGTGGGAGGGGGTGGGTGATAAGGACCGGTGAGAAGATTAATAGTAATAGTAGTGCAGACTTTGTAAATAGTTGGACAGTGTTGTGGGAATTATTTGTTTAGCAGAATGATGGCATTCGGGAGAAAACTGTCCTTGTGTCTAGTTGTTCTGGCGTGCAGTGCTCTATAGCATCATTTTGAGGGAAGGAGTTGATACAGTTTATGTCCGGGATGTGAGGGGTCTGTAAATATTTTCACAGCCCTCTTTTTGACTCGTGCAGTATACAGGTCATCGATGGATGGAAGGCAGGTTGGTAGTAATTGTTTTTTCTGCAGTCCTAATTACTCTCTGAAGTCTGTGTCTGTCTTGTTGGGTTGCAGAACCAAACCAGACAATGATAGAGATGCAGATGATAGACTCACTTAACAACTGTGATTTCCCTTCACAACTGTGGCAAGGCAGGGTCGTCTCATTGAACAGCAGAAATGTGGGGCTCAATTGTGGCTGTAAGTTGAGGACTTACCTGGACTGGGCACTGGGGGTATGGAGCTGCAGTCAAGGAGCTGGGATGCAAAAGACAGCAATTTCCCCATTGGTCGAATGCAAAGGTTTCCAAGATAAAAATAAATAAATAAATCATGAACTCAAATTGGACGGTGCGCTTTGACCTCTGCCTCTGCTGCAGAAGGAGCTGACCCCAGACTAGCAATTGGGGTGAGGCAGGAAGGTGGATTTAACTCCTCTTCGTTTTATGAAATGGCTCCAGGCAGGGTTGAGCCATTTTTTGTTTATTTATTTATTTTAAAAATTACACCTCTCTATTTACATTGTTAACGGTATTGTGTCATCAATAATACATATATTTACATTTATTCCTATATATTAATCCTTATTCCCAAATTCTGCCTACTTATACCATCTATCCCAAGGGTCGCCAACCTTTTGGGCTTCAGGGACCACCAAACTCATAATTTTAAATCCCAGGGACCGCTAACCGGTTTTGTGGACGTGGCCTAATTTGTGGGTGTGTTTTGATGTTCATGTGACTGGCTGGTTTGGTGTTCATGGCTTGTATGTAAATATTATAAATATTTATATAAATATTGATTTTTTTTAATAAAAAAAGAGCAACTTTTACCTAAAATCAGGCAAAGCAGGCAGGCAGATTGAATTGCTCACAGAATCACAGATTCACTTAGAGATCTGGGTTTCTGCCATCAGCTAGCTCAGTCTGCACTGCTTCAGTCCTACGGAAGGTTTGGCTCATCTAAAGATTAGCTAGAAAGCAAGAAATGCAACCATTTCCTGCTTTCTAGCTAATCTAAATCTCCCGGCACAGCAGAACAGCTGATGGTCGGAAAAAGGAAAAATAGCAATTTAGCAGGAAAGTTTGCCGGGTAAGGAGTGAGTGGGTGGGGAGGGTTCCCACAAGCCATGTGGGCGGCACAGCCTTGATTAATTACTTTGGGGGGTGCTCTTGGGGTGGCATTTCTCTGCAGACCACCAACATTTTCTCACGGCCCACCAGTGGTCCCCGGCCCACCAGTTGGCGACCACTGATCTGTCCCAAACCATGTAGTATTCTGATTCCACCTTGCCTTTCAGTTCTGTTGTAAGTTTGTCCATCTCAGCACAAGCTAATATTTTTTGTATCGACATCTCTTCGGATGGTATATTTTCTGATTTCCAACCCTCTGCAAAAACTGTCCTCACCGCTGTTATTATATGCAGTATGATGTATTGGATTTGTTTGCTAAATTTCCCTTTTTCACATGTGGTGGCAATGCCCAAAAGCTAGAAAATATTTGGATGAAGATACAAAGATGGTTACAGGAGATAACGGAACACCAAATAGAATTTAAACCTGAAATATTCTTATTGGGAATAATTAAAGGGAAACTTAGCTTTTTTTTTTTATTGCCCCTGGCTCAGACTTCACGTTTTGAATATCTGCTCCCCATCATCAAGATGCTCTCCACTCTCTTTTTCGTCCCTTTTCAAATTAGAAACTCCTGAATTTTGCAGCAGGAAATGTCCAAAAGCTTTGCTTTCGAATGGATGAATGGAATAATGAGTCAAGGAGGGCAAGATGCGTCCTGAGAAAATTAGTCACTCTTTAATGACGTGCGGAGTTTTGAACGGAGAGTTTTGAGTGGCATTAGAGTAAAGCGTTAAGCAGAATGTTGAGAGGTTGTGTTGTGATTTTGGAAACTTACTGGTGCATTAAAGAACTTGGATATGTAATGCCGTGGCCTTTCTTTTATTTGGGAGCAATTTGACTGACTTTCAGATGGGTGAACTTTGGATTCCAAAAATTCCCCAGCCAGCAATTCAGTTCAATTTTTAATTTTTATAAATATCTCAAGGCGGTGAACATATCCTGCCCACCTTTTTCCTCCTATTTTCTACACGACAACCATTGTGTGAAGTGAGTTGGGCTGAGAAAGAATAAGTGGGCCAAGCTTTCAGGGCTAAGGCAGGACTAGAACTCACAATCTCCTGCTTTCTAACCATTAAAACCAGCATAATGTAGTTGTCCTGGATTAGGCCTACCACGTAGGGAAATCTTAGTCCTTAACCTTGATTAGCATCATCTTGTTTTATTGATGTCCAGTAACAATCGGAGAAGCCTGTGTGGATCTTTAGCAATGATATCTGGCTGTGATAAGACTTCTAATCTGAGGCAGTATCAAGTCCAGAGGTTATTGCTAGGAAATGAACACAAGACTGGCGTCCTCAATCTTACAGAAATGCAAACATTGGAGAAAATGGAAAAATACTCTCCGGCTATCTGTGATGCAGTTGAAAAATGGATGGTGGAATGTATAATTAAAAGGGACCAGTGGAATAAACAGGGGTGGGATTCTACCAGTTCCCACCTATTTGCTAGAACTGGTTGTTAACATTCTAAGCAGTTTGGAGAACTGGTTGTTAGAAGAAATTACTGGCCTAATCCTGTAAGGAAGGCAGGAAGGAAACATTCTGGTGTTGCTTACAGAAACTGCCTCTCCATTAACCCTTATTACATTCTTGGCAGGACTAGACTTCCTGTCTCTGGAACTTTTCTGGAGGTTTTTTCCCCTCCTTTGCTGGTACTTTGCTTGTGTGGAGTGACTATTTAAAGTTACAATGGCACTGAAAAAAGTGACTTATGACCATTTTTCACACTTACGACTGTTGCAGCATCCCCACAGTCATGAGAGGCCAGACAAAGAAATGCGTGCCTTGATGTGAGTGATATTGAGTTGGCCACGCCCAGCTAATAACATGACCACCAAGCCATATCCACCCAGTCACATGACCACCAAGCCACGCCCACCAACTTAGCCACGCCCACAGAACCAGTTGTTTAAAAATTTCAATCCCATCCTTGGGCATAAATGTGATTGTACATCGGGATTAGCCTCAGAACTGTTTATAAACAGAGAGCGTAAAACTGCATTCTCTTCATTTTGATTCACTATTGAGCCATTTGTGAAATGGAATTGTAATAGTGTCTGTAGTTGTGGATATGTTCACAATCACAAGCAGGCTTGTTTCAAAAACAGGTTTT